CGGTTTGATTCCCGGTCAGGGCACCTGCCTGGTTTGCAGGCTGGATCCCCAGTGTGGGGCTTGCAGGAGGAAGCCGATCCATGATTCTCATCATTGATGTTTCTCTCTCTCTCTCTCCCACTCCTCTCTGAAATCAATAAAAAAAAATATTTTTAAAAAACCCAGCAGACATTAAATTGTTCTATTATTGGATGCAAATGTTGGAGTAAGTGTTTAAACTTCTGGACCTGGTTCATTACGTATGAGATGATGTATGTCTTTGGAGATAAGAGACAATGTGCCTAATAATACGATTCCCCACGCATGAGGGCAGAAGAAAAGATCGAGTGTATGGTTTTCCCAGCCGCCTCATTTGTCAACTCATCACCGTTTTAATCAAGGTTTTGCAAAACTCAAATTCTAGGAGAAACCCCATAGTACAATCACTGCAGTATCAGGTTGCCAAGCAACAATCTTGTTCTTTCAAAACAGGAAATCTCTGCAAGGCCGATCAAAGATCTACAGAAAGATGGGACCCTGACGGTGCGTTCCCAGAGCCGCTGTGGCTCGTTCTTTCTCTAAAACAGCCCCCCTCTCTGCCGCTGGGCTGTGAGAGCTGTCGACAGTCCCCCACACTGATCTGCACAATTCTTTTTTTTTTTAAATATATTTTATTGATTTTTTACAGAGAGGAAGGGAGAGAGATAGAGAGTTAGAAACATCGATGAGAGAGAAACATCAATCAGCTGCCTCCTGCACATCTCCCACTGGGGACGTGCCCGCAACCCAGGTACACGCCCCTTTACCGGAATCGAACCTGGGACCCTTCAGTCCGCAGGCCGACGCTCTATCCACTGAGCCAAACCGGTTTCGGCTACAATTCTTTTTTTAAAAATATATTAATTTCAGAGAGGAAGGGAGAGGGAGAGATAGAAACATCAATGATGAGAGAATATCATGGATCAGCTGCCTCCTGCACGCCCCCTACTGGGGATCGAGCCCGAAACCCGGGCATGTGCCCTGACCAGGAATCGAACCCTGACCTCCTGGTTCACAGGTCGATGCTCAACCACTGAGCCACACCAGCCAGGCTGCACAATTCTTTTGCCAGATTCCCTCCATCCGTCCGTCTGATGCTTGGGTGTGCCAGGCACCATCCAGACTCGGTCCATGAACTTCTCTCAGACACACGCATCCTAGGAGGTGGATGCTAACATGTCCTCCCTGCCCTCCAGGGAAACTGAGACCCCAAGACCTGAAGTCACCGCTGAGTCCACTCAGGCTGGCGTGGCTGAGTTCCGCTCTCCCTCCGACAGGCCTGGCCGGCAGGCACAAAAGTCCTACAGCTTCTCAGTCTGGCTCTCAAAGTGAGGTCTGGGCCCGGCCCCTTAGGTAAGTGTGAGCATGCAGGCTCCCTGGCCTGACCCCAGACCCCCCCCCCCCCCCCCCTGTAATGATTTCTGGGTAGCGGGGCCTGGATCTGAAAATATAAATAAACCCCCGGGGTATTAATCAATAGGTTAGACTGGAAA